CGGCAATTGTTGACCGCGGTGAGCGGCAGTATTGTTACGAATAGAATTTTAATTCGGGAAGTGAAACAATTTAATAAGTGTTATGGTGGGCATACCAAGCGACGAATTCCGACAAAAATCGCTATCAAGAGGCCGGAACAGGTAAATTCATTATCCATGATTCGTCTAAAAATAATATGTATTGTTCTTTAATGTACAATTGACCGTTACAATTAGAATTATTTCACACCCCTGACCACTTGTAAAATCCCTTTTCACTCACGTTCCACATATGTGGTCTATGGGTTCTTATGGGTTGCATTGCCGGAAGATGCGCAATGTTATGCCCCTTTCTTTGCATCGCGATAACGCTTTCTCCAAACCCAACATCTCTTGTGTAAGCATAAGAATCACGAGTTTGCTACCGGTATCCGCACTCTCTCTCTCCAGTTATAGTAACAGGTCTTCCCCTCTGCATATCGGATCGTCTACCGGCGTAATTCGTTATCCTCAAGGGTTACTGGAGAGCGAATCGCACGGGATATCAGGACTAAAAAGAAACGCGAGTTTAAAGCACAATAACAAAATAATCCTTCTTGGTAATTTTCTAATATACTTTGCTTTTATTTCTGATTGTTTGGAAACCGGGTGAAGACATTATAATATACAATTAAGTTTAGTGCATTATCCAATCTATGTTCATGTGCCAAATTCATTCGAATAATAATTGGGATTCTCAAAAACAATTTTTTACTCATTGTGATTAAATAATCCAACAAATGTTTTTGGATTAAGTGATGATATTAATCATATGATTTTACGCCATACTTAAATTCAATATAAAATTTATATTTTAAATTTTCTCGGAAATTTAGTGGCTGATCAAAAATTATAAGTCCAAGGTCAAGAACTATTGATGGCACTATGTAAGCGGAGCGAGTTGCAAATTATTATTAAGAATTAATGGATTTTTATATCTTTAAAACAAAAACATGGAAAAACATAACTCCAATCGAGTGTTATTATTTTGATGTTTATATGTCTTTACATAGCTGGAAGGAAGAAAGTACTTGATACGGGAGTTCTGCGTTATGTATTGAGGATTTGTCCCTGTCTTGGGATTATGAATAGATTTCGAAAAGCTAACACAATTCGTGGGCAATGTTCTGAGGACATTGAAAATACAATCATATTTTGGCGTTGGTGTGGTATCTTGCAATATTATCGGTAAACGCAAAGAGGACATTTCCGTTTAGGCCAGTTTCTCGATATTGAGTAGGTTAAGTAAATGAAAAGGATATTGGTGAAATAATGTTATTTGATTTCCAAGAAGAAGAGCTTAAAGTGATGTGGCCAAGTACTTGACATTCCCATGTCTTCTTGTATGTTCTTCAAAGGAAATGATGTACTTCAAATAAACATTTTCATTGGGTACTGAAATATGTTTGAAATACTCTATGATATTTCGTAACATGCGAGGCATGTCGAAATTGATAACTTTCAGTTCGAAAGTATGATTCAATGCCATTGAAACTGAAATTAATGGTATATGTAGGTAGTGAAGTAATCGACTAAATTACAGAACATGCTCATAAATTAACGGAGCCACACGATAGCGATCAAAGTTTAGTATGAATCCTAGAGGAGATACACTATCAGGGGAATCGGTTAATGTAAATAGACGCACCCTTAAAAAGTAATATTTTCGGAATTATCAAAGAAAGAGCTGCTTACCTAACGCACCCATATACAAAGACACGCACGCACAATTCTGGAGTCAGTTCTTGAAGTATCAAGCTTTACCTAACATCCTAACCACTAACAACACCTTTTCGTAACAATGCGTTTAGTTAACTTATCTTATTTGACACCTCCCTTACTTACAGTACTAAATTGCAAACGAATAAAAATCAGTTGCATGATAAATTTAAAGTTATTGCCTCCTCACTATGAAAGCAATTCTGTGCTTGACGCTGGAACCTCGAACGTCGATCAGGCCAGCAGAGAGTGGTTTGAAGAAAAATTAATTATTTCGCCGCTAAAGTAGCATCGCGAGGAATAAAGCGAATTTCGAGGAAACCATTTCGCAGTGTTTTCCCTGATTGCACCCTTCCCCCCACCCCGAGATGGCGTCAGCCACCCGCACGACGACGCTCCGACCGCAGCGGATATGACGCGCCACACCGGCGCGGGCGACGCTTGACGCCATTTGCTTCCGCAGCCACGAGACGGCGAGCGTTAGTACCGGGTGGCGGATGCACAGATGGCTTGTGGCCGGGGCGAACCGGGCGAACGTAAATAGTTCTATCTCCGGCAAATTACGGGCTTCCGGTTTTGTGGGCGTCGTGTTATCACTTAACAACGAAGGCGATGTGATGGCATGTGACACGATGCTTGGCTTAGATTTATTATACCCGCCTAGTATACTTGGCGCCGAATAAGTAATTTTTTATGGTAAGGGGTTTTGGGGGCGAGTGATGGGACAGGGACGGAAGGAAGGCAAACGTTTGTCTTCATTCATTTCATTCCAGCGGAAGACAAGCATATTGTGATTGTAGTGAAACTTCTCGAATATTGCGGTGCTTGTAAGGGTTTTAAATACGTTTGCTTTTGAATTTCTCACCTCTTGTAAAATATCCATTATTAATATAAATACATTATTGAGAAACACAAATTGCCATTTATTTCATGAAAATCTTCGCGTAAGTGTTACGATTGACGCAACATACTACATGATTCCGCCATAAGAATGTTTCAGATCAGAATGTTTTAGACTTTATCAGACTTATCATGTAAGACATGAGAAGATACAATTAAAAAACGTAGAAAGAGGTTATAATAACTAGTTACTTATGTTACTGGGTCAGGATCTACTAATAGCGTGTGCAATTCTCGAAAAGACAGGCACTAAACTTAGGATGATCCATTAAGACGTAAAAAAGAGAATAATTCATACGACCTACGAAAATTGATTCACTTTCTTCATTATTTTTTAATTGATATGATTTTTATAATTGTAATCCTCTATGTCGATTTAATTTGTATTTGATAATGATGTTATGATCATCATATTTTAATTTAACCTTGCAGGAAATGGATGTGGTTTCACAAACTTAAGATTCAAGGTGATATACACTATTATGCCATTTTGTTTCCCTTAGATCTTTATTTTTCATTACACTAACTATCTGCTAGCATTTTTTATACAATAATTATGTATTGCTGTTTTTCTCAATGGTCATTTATCTTCAAACAAAATTCTGGAAATGGATGGTCTGAAATGTTTTTTTAAGAAGAATGTGATTTAAACCATTTATATTAATATAGGTGTTGTGGTGTGATATCTTTGGCATTTTTCATAAGATAATTAAAGACGTTGTATTGCCAACAATATTATTTAATGCAAAAGCAGCTTTCGATGGCTTAGCCATCATCATCAGTTGTCTGCTGGATAAAAGCCACAAAAACGACTACCTCGTTGTCGTTTTTGTGGCTTCCATCCAGCAGACAACTGATGATGATGGCTAAGCCATCGAAAGCTGCTTTTGCATTAAAAAATATTGTTGGCAATGACAACGTCTTTAATTATTTCATTTATATTAAGCATAATGATGTTTTAAAAGTTAATTCCAAAAACAGTCAAATAATCGCATAGGGCCGTAATGAATACATACATGTATATAGAAATTTCTTTATCATACGCGTTTCATTCCATGATAAATAATTTTCACCATTTGACATTGTTTCCTGATTACGAGATGAAGGGAGAAAATGAATGTCATGGAATAATAAGATTCAATTCTGTGATTTTTCAACGCGGTTTATATATACTTTAAAACAGAATTTTAAATAGGCATTTATAGTTAGTGAATATCGTGCTCGAACATCTCAATCAATCCTAATTTCATTGCAATAAAATCAAATCAAAAGTCTAGTTCTTCGTCAACAAAATTTAATTATCCAGAAGACGTGTGAAATGTGCCATATTGCACTTCCTTTACTCTTTCAGTGATGATTTAAGTCGTAAGTTAAATTTTGAAAGACCCTCAGTTTCATAACATACGCTCTTTATGTGACTTACCACTCTCATCAGGTAAAAGAAGGAAGAAAAGAAATAAACTTGAAATGTTTTTCAACTGGACTCCAATATTTTGTTTATCAAAAGAAAAAAAATAGTTTCATTCAACGATCATGAGTTATCTCAAATCTGAGTGATTAAAATTTAGAATAATGATAGCCGACCATTAAAGAAATGAAAAAATTTAAGGGGTTCAATATATCAGTTATTCACAAAACTAAAATTGTGGATTTGTAAGTAATGGGATTTGGTTAAAGATACATAAATATTGCTCCTCGTTTAGTGTAACGTGCCCACAAGCAAATAAAGACGCAACGCAATAGGAACAGTTCACAAATTGCTTCACATAATTACTTTATAGTTAAGTGCTGATATTGAGTTACTGAAATTGGAAATCTAATTCCTTTCATCATGATTTTCTCGTTTAGGATAACTAAAAATTTAAAAATAATGTAGCTAAAACTTTCAAAAAATTGCAATATTTATAGTAAGTTATTCCAGACAAGGTTCATCAAAATTGCTCCATACCATAGAGATGCAAACAAAAACAAATTGTTATCTACAAACGTTTGCTTGTACGAAAAGGGAGTGAATAACCTAAAGAGGTATATATTTTTTATGTGTTGAGCAGTCCGAACAAATAATTGCAGCGAAAGAAATAAAGCAATCCCTTACCCTTGTGACCTTTTGAATACTTAAAAAAAAGGCGTGAATAGATTTCTAGATGTCAGAGGCAATGACCTCATTCTATTACTTTACGACCGACGAAGTAAGGTTCAGTTAAACAACGTTTGCAAAATTCAATTTGTATGGAGTGAGAGATGTGTTATCTTTGAGTTATTAATGCATATTTACAGTCATTGTCTTCTCGTGGTGCCTTTCTAATCGTGATTTTTGCATTCATCATAGACTGTAAGGCCTTGAAAAACCAATTTTAGAAGTTTTAATTATCTACTGTTGATATATTTACCCATATGTCACTCAAACCTAGATTGAAGATAGAAATTGTGAAATTACAATGTACTTTTCGAAATAGTTGACGTGGATTATGTAGTGTAATTTGAACGATTAAGCAACAAAAATTAGTTATTGTATTTTGGAACAATTCGCACATGGTGATGAAATCACGGGCTGAATTTGCCGAAAAGCATTAAAAATTGCTTCATTAGAGGGGAGGGTGCTGGTGGAATATTTTTACTCATATCACAATTGACATCTATGATCCGTCTCTTGGCTGAACGTCTTAGATTCAGTGAGTCTTTGATTCATTTGATTGGAACAGTGAGCGATATTATTTCAGGCAGAAGTGCACCCGTTAAAATTGAAAATTAATTTGGAGACAAAATTAATTGAGACGTTGGTTACCTGATGTTCATCACCATCTTACATTTATTGTGCTTTGGAAATACGTTTTGTTGTCTGTTGTACGTTGTAATATGGTTTGATGCCGATAACCATTCGCAGCTCCTTATAAGCGCAAAAAGCTGCAACCTGCTGAACTTTGCAGCCAGCCTACCTAGTTCACAGCAGCATCAAAAGGAACTTGCACACCAACCCATCAAATCAAGAGAGGGCGTTTGCTTTAAAACCACTAATAAGATATAATGGTGCCCAAACCGATAGTTTCTGCGTCTAATACTAGACGCTTTGAAACTAAGCGTCTAGTATTTTATTAATACAACCCAAGGATATTAATACAATAGACTTCAGAGGCGAATCGTGATTTAAGGTCATGACTTTCAATATATATTGAAAGAGAGTCTTGCTCTGTTTTTTTTTTATTTCTATATTGTAATTAATAATCTAATAAATGCTATACAATGAAGTTTATAAACAAATTGAAAGCTATTTTTTTACGATTTTCCCCTTAAACTGGCCTAAACGCCACTGGCTGACTTCCATTCAAGAAAATAGGATATCAAGCATAACTGTTTCGTGCACTCACCCATGCGCCGGCAGACGAACGGGCCGAAGTTGGTGTCGCCGCTGAGCTGCACGGCGGCGAGCAGGCTGTAGGCGACGGCGAGGCAGCCCACGTGGAAGATGAGCGACTTGCCGTGCAGGTCGCGCAGGGCGTCCACCGCCAGGTACACGAACAGCGTCAGCAGCAGCCCTGACACCGACACCAGCATGCCTGCGCACGCCGCGCGCACGCGTGCAAACGCGCTTTATAACCAGCTCCTCAAAGAATTCCACTTACATTTTATGTTCGTCTGTTCATTCTCTTGATACAAAAATGTTGTCTCTTCTCAATTTTTAAACACAATTAAGTCATCCACTTCATATGCTTTCTTTCATATTAAATTTTTTATTACGAATAACGCATCCTTAAACAATTTTCACAGCGTTTCGGGATGACATAACATTTTTTCGCCTTTAAGTATGTAAGATGAGAAAGTATTGTAATCGTGCGCCGGAACACGGGGAATTTTCGGCACAACACTTATTACCGGGCTCTGGTAACGAAAAAGTGGATAAATCTTGTTTCACTAATTTTCACCAAATCCCCTCCTTTGCAAATTTCAGACTCGGCAAAACCCTATACACATTATCAGAAATAAAAAAAATATCCTTTCAAGATATTTCTCAAAAAAATTGTAAAATTAATCATATGTTTATCAATATAACAACAAAAATTAGTAAATCAAACAAATATTATTACAATTATAATAACCGCAATAATGCAATACTAATTAGAGAACAAAGTAGATGGGAATATGGGAGCGAGCACTGACTTCTAAAACCCCAGTCTTCACGGGCTCCCCTGAACGATGTGGGTTTTAGAAAGGCGTAAAAATCTTGTGTTCCATGTGCTTGTAGCGTGTAAAACTATTATAATGGAAAAATTACATTTACCGACAGTTCGCTTCCTAATAAAATTGTATTCTCTCAGCCGCGGAACAATGCAAGTACGGAAAATGACTGAGAGCGATGAATTGGTCTCAGGTGCCAAATATGGGAGTAAAAAATAGTTTGTAGTCATTGACCAGTAAAAAATAATTGTTTCACCAACAAATAGAAAAAAAGGGACCAAGGTTTATTTAGTTATTGATGAGTTTAAAATCCAGCTGTCGTGTGGTACTTGCAACGTTTTGAAGAACCCTGGCTAAGTGCAAAGAAAATTTAATTCGATAATTTGTCTGCAAAAACGAGCTTATCTTAACGTAACATACTTTTCGGATTGAAATTTAATCTTCCATTACAGTGCACAGTGAGTGTCAGAGGGTATTAATGAGTAACAAAACAATGAAATTAGGACGCAGCAAAGAACGCACGTAAAATGTGAAATACCTTACCCTACACAATCTGGGAGAATTAAAATAACATTGATTGTTTCCCATTCAATAGTAAAGAATTACACATTTCTTAAGTCGTTAGAAAAATCCATAGTACCGCAAATAAATTTCAAAGAAATTTCATTTCAGAGACTTTCTTTCCACTGAAGATCCTCGAAGACTGGTTTGCTTTAAACATCGCCGCCCATCAAGAGATTGGGCGGGCTGGTTGTGACGTCAGCCGGTGCCCACATTAACGCGCAGCCTCCGCTGCCACTTTCTCTTCAGGCGGCCACGTCCTCGATTGAGGACCTGGAAGGACGACGTCACTCCAAGCACGATTTGGTCCAGGAAGAGTTCACAAGAACCGAGTACATTAAGAGTATTGAGTTACGAGTCCACAACTGAAGTTTCATAGGCAGGTGCCTCCTAGGTGTGAATTCCGACAGAGGCAAATTTTCAACATTAGCTAAAAATGTGAGTGAACGGCGCCATTTTATGGATGGGAATTATAAATATGCTAGAAGTTCTCGTAACCGTGGTTTCTTTCAATCAATTCTAGGTGTACCTCAAAGCAGTATATTCGAAGCACCGTCTACTATCATCGCAGGATTATTGTATCACTATTCTCATTCTCATGATTGCCCAATGGACTGATCCCTCATCCCCGAATGACCTGTCTCCTGTGATCTCAAATTTGTACAACTCTGCTAAAACACGGAGAAGCGAAAGCGGTGGAGGGTTATAGCATCGGCAAAAGGTGACCTCAGACCATGGGTGGCAATTATTGCAATAACTATTATTTTCCCTTAACAATTATCAATATTTATACGATACTGATTATTTTCTCTTAACAATTATCATTATTTACATATATTCTTAGAAAGGAAGTACGTGTGGAATTGTAACCGTGAATCCATTATGTAATTAAATCCAGCACTCGCTTGCTGCTGTGTATCACGATTGTCACGGAGTATTAAAATTGACCATTACGAAAAAGTAAACACGACAGTGAACACAGAGTATTTTTCAATTTTTATTTTATGGGAAGTGACATCTTCACGTCTCGAAAACTCCAAAGTCTTAGCCAAAACATTTCAGCTTCTTGACTAGGAGGTGGTGGTCGAATAAATTAAATTGATCATAAAGGTTTCGCTATAGGATGACATCAACATTCTAATTTTCATTGCATTATCAAACAACCAATCTATTTTTTATTCTATTAATAAGCAATCGAAGTTATTTACAAGCGCTAAAGGAGTACTGAGTTTATTATTGATGTTTTATCCAACGTCTATTTCTTCCTTTACCTATGAGAGACGACTTGTTGACGTCTTGTTGACTTGACAGCACTCAGAAACACGAGCGGATGGTCCCACGTGTTGCGCATGCCAATGACACGCTGCAGCGGCATCTCTGACGTGAATCCGTCTCATCGACAAGTGAAATGAGGCTATTTTATACATCGGTGATTATATACGACGGAATGTCGGTACATTGCAGATGTAAGTAATGTGTGCTTTGCGAATACGTTGCATACATACGATGCTATTAGAGATATGATTATAATTCGATTATTGAAATGCAATTTCATATTCACATTCAACACGTGCTGCATTTTGGCACGGGAAGAACCAAAGAAACAATTTTCCTCCTTTGTTTCTGTTTATGCTTGCAATGTATAAGCGAAATTATTAAATTAATATCTTGAAATAATGAACATTTGTCTTATTTCTATTGGTTCGGACGTAGTGAGGTAATAAAATTTTGGAAATAAAAAACGAAATGTTTGTATTATTAAATTGAAAGTAATTGAATTGACACATAATTGAATATTTTATTTGAATCACAAACCATGATTCTTATTGCATAAAAGAAATGAAGAAACACCATATGAAGAAAACACAAGAAAGAGATTTTATAAAAACATTTTTTTTTCGAAAGGAAGAATGAACCATGACAACCTTACAAAAGCTGTAGTTACTTAACATGAATTTATCCTGTAGTATCGTTCCTCGACAAGTTCATGTAATTCTAACATAGTTAATCTAAAAAAAACTGTGAAGCGGCATGCTTTGTTGATCTTTGTTACCAACAAATAGAAGGTCTTTCACAAAAATAGTAAGCTAATATTATAAACATAATTAACCAACTTGTCTCTTGTGTTAATAAGAAGCTCTTCTTGTGAATATGACAAGAGAAAAAAAATATTAACTTAGATGTGATATTTAACAGATAGTGAAAATATACGACGTAATTTCTTTCAAAGACACGTGGCAATATTAATCCGAGTATTATTTAATGAATGCGTAGGTGTATGTACGAATGTTTAAGTTGTTAGAACGTTCAATTTTGTTTCAAGAAGTAAACTATAACATTGCATAATCCAATATAATATGCAACTTGTTTACGGTCACGGGATAGATCATTCTGGACGTACGAACGATAATAAAAATAATAATAACAATAATAATACAAATTTTAACAACAATAATAACAATAACATCAACAACAGCAATAATAACAATACAATAACAACAGTTTTTAAGTGTGAAAGCAAAACATTGTTAGTGACGCCGAAGGAAGACATCCGGAACACCCTTTTAAAGAAATAACTGAATTTGAGTTATTCCTTTTATTCGCTAGCGAAATGTACGTTTTCTCATGGGAGGAAATGTGTTCTCGGTTTGTTATCTTAGCAAACAAAGGTGCAGCGATTCCGGAGTGCATGTTGTTCGTAATCGGATGTGTTTGCAATGTATCATTTAAGTAGAACGATGAAATATTTACCGATAAGACACGGAAGGCGGTCATACGAATAACAGGAAAAGTCTCATATTGTGTCCATTATAGTTATTTCATTTGTTTACTTTTTGAATGTCAAAATCATTGGAAAGAAGAAAGTGTAATTACGATAACGTGACGGATTAACTACGGCAATTATTGTGTGAAAATAATAAAAATGTGTTGCATTTTAATATTCGTTAGCTACATAACCATCAATGAATCAACATTCAAAGGCTCTATGTTACTTGCAGATTGTAATTAGGAATAATAAATTAATTTTTCGCAAATATAAGCGTATTGTAAGTAACACATGATCAGCTTGTCATTATTTGGATCATAGTAACAATTTCAAGAGATACGGAACAAATGAAAGAACTTCGATAAGTCTATTAATACGATATCATTCCTTTCCGTATTGCTGAAATTCGCGAATGACTGAAGAGCCAGGTGTGGAGTCTTTCAGAATTTTATTCGTGATAAAGATACTCTGATATCTCAGAAACCTTCAATAATGCGATTTTCTGCTTTAAATGTGTGCAATATTATCTAATGTTTTCCGCAAAATTGATAATATTGATTTATCTCGAACGGAAATTTTAACATCAACAGTAAAACTATGAGGAAAATGAAAGAAAAACAATACATTTCTCAAGACATGGGAAGACTACGGTCAATTAAGCAAACGTGTAAAATGAGGTTTAGGTGACTCATGGCATCTTGATGTCACTGCACTGCCTCTGACCGGAAGGTCCTCGGGTTCGAGTTCCGACGGCAGAATTTTCTACACCAGCTACATAGGTAGGTCGAATTCAGCTGCTTTATGCAGGAGAATTCTAGCTGCCCGCTGCTCTGATCGCTAGTTTGTCGTAGCTTCTCCGATAAACACAATGTGAGGATTGGAGCAGTACTCTAACAAAAGGCCACGATCTTTCTTTAGTCTTCTTTGCCCTATACTCAGCTTTTACTTACACACTAACGCCATCATGACTACACCATTACAAGGGAGATCGGTCGGGAGTTTAGAGCTTGGCTCGGCTGAGGCGCTGCTCCGCGAGTGGTAGATATTTGGTTGAGGAAAATCCCCGAAAGCCGACGTATAGGTCGACAGCAGATCTCGTGATCCATCGGAGGAAGATCACTGGCGCAGCCCGTGATAAAAATATGCACTAAACGTACGGGACTAACGAGCTTAAGAGTTAAAGTGCCCAGAAACACGAATAAATTAATTAAGAGGATGCAGTTCTTGTGTGTATTATACAATCAGTTAATGTTAGAATCAAATTACTATTTAACACATAAGGTAGAACGATTTTCCCCCTCAAGCAATGTATTTGGTTTATCCCACGGTAGACCCGGCAACTTGCAGTCTCGCCAGCGGTCAAGCCAGGAAATTTGATATCGCTGAAAGCCAGAAAATGTCGCTGATATCTGGATAATGATACGACAAGGGATCGAAGAACGACAAGGGATTACATGAATACAGATTAAACTGTTGTAAAGGTTGGTTTGAGTGTAGCAAAACACATTCACAGAAAAAAACATTCAGTTATTACACACATTCATTTAATATAATATAGACGAATTCGTAATTAAAGTATCAATACAATGTACAAAATTTTATTTAAGACGTGTTTTCGTTATGGGTTTATGTATATTTGCAGGTCGGAAACTGATAAAGAGAACTAATTCCAAATCGTAACCAGACACACGACTGAGATTTGATTTATCATCCTTCATAGAGGAAAAAAGTTTGTAAACACAAGAGGACTCAAACACAAGTATATTTTTCGCAGCAGATTTTTACCAACATGGAAGGCGCTACCAAATACAATTTATATGAATACTTAGTAAATGAGATTCATAATAGAATCGATCTCGTAGCTATCTCATCTGTGGGCACTTCACTCTAATTGGATATCTATAGATAATTGTTGAACTTCTATTGAAAAAGAAGCAAATTTATAAAACTTCATCTCGAGGGTTGTGAAATCTAGAAAACGATATCTTTCTTCCGATTTTAATAGCATCCGCTTCGAAAAGTGTCAAACACTGACACTATGCCCAAATATAACTCTTTCAAACACTCATACTGACACAAATACAACTCTTTCGTGTGGGATTTTACTGTTATGTCCTACAAGTCTGCTTTGCTCGCGAACAAACCTCTCCCCTTGCTCTACCTCTCGATTTGCGTTCATGATCGGGCCTGATTTAACATACTTATTAGTAGACATTAAGAACCTTAAACGTGCTTTACACTAATAGCAATTAAACTTCATCAAATTTATTGTTGTATCAAATGTCTGTAAAGAATAATGTACTTCTGATACTATATGCGAAATACTTTAAGAATTCACCCATCTGTCATTTCAGATTAGTGAAAAAAAGGAATATTCTATGAGAAACAGCTTCAAATGGTAGGGATATTTAATTATCTTGGTTATTGCGACGACAATAAGGGATAATGGAAATAATCAAAAAAGGGGAAGATTAAATAAAATGCATTTATTGCAAACTATTGGGTAATGTTAATTATTGCTGGATTATACCTAATTTGTATGCTGGGATTTCCGTTTCATAAAGATTTGATAAAATGTGTAATGAACTAAAAGATGTTTCTTCTCAGATTGTATTTGACTGTAATAAAATACGAGAAAACCCGTTTGAATATCAAAACACAACTCCAATGAAATAGGTACTTACTGAATTACAGCGTTTGGAGCGGAATGAAAAAAGGTCAATTTAATGAACGGAAACAACGTTAATAATGTGCATTTACTTTATTTCCACTTTTTTCTTCGCATCGTTTATGGTGAAGGTACTGGTTTATAGTTACTGCCTATGGAGTAGGATTATTTTCATTTGAAAATTATTTTTGCTTGTAGCATTAGTAGATAAAACTACTACGTTTAGTAGAACTAGTTGTTGGATTATCAGAAATTTAGTGGTGTCATATTAAAAAATAGTGATTCTAAAATAACTTTCAACAGTCAAGCAAGAGTCGGATTGCATCCTTCCAAAAAGTATTTGTAATATATATGGAGCTGTGCAAACAGTTGTTCAGATGCAAGAAAGGATTAAGTTTTGAATTCTGACGCCTGCAGACCCAACACCATCCACGTGCACGTAGTGCACATTGCCTGCTCATCAGGCGACGCCCACGAATTATAGAATCCATAGGTTCTTCAAGTGATGAATTTTGATTGTCAACGCTGCGACGGATATACACCCTCTCGAAAGCATATCAAACATATGCGATCGGTTACTCCACCTCTAAGGAGCACCCCCAACTCTATTTCTCATGACATTCAACCGACTTTAAGTCCCAAGGTTTCATCTCTAATATTTGTTAGAATCCTTCATGTCCTGATTTCACTGAACAAGATACTTCATATCATTTTATATATTCTTATGTGAAGTGTGTGTGTGTGTGATTTAATAAGTGTATTGAAAATCTAAACGGTGACTCATTCCTGTCTTTTAAATGTTCAGTTACTTCTATGGATATTTAGTAAACTCAAGCTATCTTTTCAGCACGAACAAACATACTAAAATAGAAATATATTGCATGCACATAAGAGTAAGTTGGATACGTACCAAACGTATACAGCCAGTTGGCGAAGCCTCTTTGAACAGATGGTCCCGGTCCAATGCAAAATATGGCTTCTGTGTCTCTTTCGGAGTGTTCCAGACAAAATTCGAATGGTTGTAAAACATCCCCGTCAGTAGTGTGTTGATTGTGGTAGAGAAACAGTTGGCCATTCGACCACATATCTATTTCCGTGTAGTTCACGTAAGTCCTATAAGTAAACAAATTAATGGTTGGCATTAAAATAAAATATCTTTTGAAATCTTGAGAGTGAATGTGAATATAATACAACAATCATTTCACAGAAAATTCACGTTAGATTCCACTTTTAAATGATGTAATTTATGAAAATGTTGCTTGGACGTGGAGTCTAACTTCAATATCTCGAATCTATCTTTTCTATTATTGAAAAATTTAATAAAATATGTGCGAAAGCTGTCATTGTAATATTTGAATGAATGTTTATTTAGGAAATGATTTGTTTTTCGCGTTATTGAAGAGAAATTGTCTGTAAAAAAAACAGGCCAGTGATCTTACTCGCTTACAACAGAAAATTATGGAAAATACTTACCAGTCTTTGCAAGGGTTCCCGATGACCAACGCGAAGGAGCCCTGCGGCCATTCCACGAAATCCATCCCGTCCTTCACATAGGAGTAGTTAGCGATGAATGGGTTGAATTGAACGTGCGTGGGCACGCATTTGGTGTCCTGGTACGTCTGCCCCACGGGGCAGCACTTGGGGATGCACGTGAATTCCCCGGAGCCGTTGCACTCGTGCGGCATGGAGCCGTTCTCCAGCCGCTGCAGCACGCGCGGCCCGGCGTGGAGGGCCTCGGGCGCCGTGGCGTTGTCCTCGGGCCCCGGCGTCGTCGCCAACGTGTCGAGCTCCGGCTCGAGCGTCGTCGCCGGCGGGACGAGCTCCCCGAGCGCGAGCGCGGGCGTCGGAGGATCCTCCGAGGATAGGTCGGCGTCCTCGCCGGCCGGCGCGGGCCACGCCGCCGCGTGCCCGGCGCACAGCGCCACCGCGGCCGCCGCCGTCAGCCACCAGTAGAACGCGCGCATGCTCTCGCCTCGCCTCGTGCGACTAGCCGCTCGCGTGTGGGGAGTGTGGGGCCGGTGCGACGTCCGCCGCGGCGCTCCGCTCGACCACGACTGAACGGACGGAGCCCCGCGAGTGTCTGGCACGTTGGCTGGCGGCGAAGCAGGCGCTCTCACGCCGCCAGATGGCAGCGCGCCAACCGGCGCGCAACCGGCCCCCGGCGCACGGTAACCACGCCCCCTTCTCCACTCCTTCGTCCTTTTCGTCTCTTTCGCGAGCTTATTTGTTCTGCATTTTTAATCGAGATGTAAATTCCACGTTCTCTTTTCCTCATTGTGAATCAGATGCATCCACGCCAACAGAAGACTCTCTTTATATTTCCTTCCTTAATTTTTATTATCCCCTCCTGCATCATCACCATGCTTATCATTTCAATTTTTCTGTAGTCATTTTTTCCTTTATAGTTTCAACTTCATTATTCTTAATTATTCTTATTTTCGTTTCTCTAATGTTATTTCAAATGTTTTTAGAAATCTCCCTTTTTCATTATTTACCATTTTATTGTTTGTAACTTAGTTTTCTTACCACCCTTCAACCCAAGACTTTCCATCTTTCTCTTCCTTCCATGGAATATTCCTGACGTTCGTCGTGAAACCAGATCATTAACAAAAATCCAGGGAACTTTTCGAGATTGCAAATCGTGCCATAATCGAACCGATTCTTATTAATGTGTGGAACAAAGCATCATCGTAATCTTTCAAACTCCACAAAATTAATGTATTAACAAAGAAAGATTGATTGATTGATTAGCGTTTTCACGCACATCAACTACTAATGTCTTTAGTCCTGTGTTTTCATCGCATGAGGTGGCGGTAATCTTCCCCCACTAGATGGCGAAATAGGACCTACCTACATCTCGGCTTGCAGGGTTTTCCCCATTCAGTGACATGCTCTAAGTTACTAAAGTAAGTGGTAGCGTACTGCATAAAGTGTAGGTGTGTGTAAGGAGTGAGGTTAGCACAAGGAAGAGGAAGGTAAGATAGCGCAGATAGACCCGTTTGTGAGGGTATTGATCCGGTATTCACCGGTTGCTGATCGGAGAAACCACGAAAAACCTTCTATCAGAGTACCCGGCCGCTAGAATGCTCCTCCTGACAGTGGGTGAATTCGACCTAACAAATACATCAAGTCTAATCCGTCTCGATAAATTAAAACGTCACATCGAAATTTTGTCAGCATTTTCAATTCGTTCTTACAAATACACGGAGAATATGGATGTATCAAAACTCAGAGGAATAACTTCCGAAATTGACTCCGAAATATAGGAAGAAAAACCTTTATCACAACGTGAGACAGGAAATACATAGTTGCGGAGTTGCACGGGCATGTAGTTGTTTGGGGACACTGACATGTAGGGCGCTTAAGTTGATAATTTGCAGAGTTATCTCATCTACCAGTTAAGTTTCTGCCATCCGATTCTCAAAACTCAGTTGTGTTCTGTACTCAAAACTATAATGTGCGTCTGCACTTCTCGAATCAGATGAAATGCTCTAAGTAGCCTACTCCTCGGGAGATCTGTTCGTCGTTTCAAGACCGTGTGTTGAATACTATAAAAGTGCTTGGTGTGGTGAGTGATGTCAAACACACTATACAATGCTCACTGAGAGATTTGATCATTTGGAGTTTAGGGACCTCTACAATACACACAGTACGCGCGAAGTGTCGGAGAAATTCTCATTGCCCGTATTAGGCGCATCCGCACTCTCATACTTGACAAAGGAGGTCAATATTATCCCGTTTACTTTGACTCCAAATCATTCGCTCATACTTATTGTTCGGGACATGCCGATTGAGTACGCAGTCTCCTCTGTTTTTAAGTACTGTTGTGTTGGGGGGGACAAGCCTCAGGGATGGACACCTAACTTTCAAGCCATAATTCTACCCTCCTGCGCATAGTTCTCGGAGAACATCTACCCACAATATGGGAGGCCATTTCGAACCACTTCGACAATTCGCAGGTTTTACAGAGGAATGCGACCAGTTTTTTGTGTTGAATCCTGAGCTACACGCTATTAGTAGGTATTCATTAAGACCTTCATTGATTTCCTCTGACTGGGGGTTACTGTGACGACGAATCCAGCACTCAACTGCCGGCACCCGGACAGTTATATCAAAACATTTTTTAGGCGTATCAATAGATTTTTTCGAGGGTCTTGCTTCAGAAGAAAGTAAAGCTAGTTTTCCCAAGTCGCACATTTGAGATATAGAAAATAAAGTCTAAATGGGAGGTCTGAAGAGCGCATTTCAGCTAAATTATAGAATCGTTGTTAGCCTTAGTAAAACCAGTCCGCTACTGGACGGCACTGCAGGTTATCAGTATTCCGACAGGAAAGTAACGAAAATCAATGCTGAAATGGAAATATTCTCGGTGGTAAATTATCTCGACTATCAAACAGCGAAAGAAAATGTTTTTGTTTTTTTCAATACTTTTTCAGTAATGACCGACTTTTCGAATTATCCGCCTGGCTTTATGGAATCGCTTCTGTATTAAAAAACTTTAATTGTAAATAAAAGTAAACTGTTTGTTGCTACAACATGGCAAATACTTTCTCGTATTGTCTGCAATCGTTTCGTAAAATTATAATAATTATATTGCAAATTATTACTGGTAATATTTTAACAATCTCTTACGAAGCTCTTGATCAAACTTTTTGAATCACAGCACACCATGTGAGTTTATTGCATCTTCTAAACATCCATTTAATAAATGTAATTGTTAATGCATACATTAAGAATTTCATTTATAATGGAGGGATCATACACGGCTCATAAATGTGTTTTGCACATTCTATACACCGGAATGACAATCAACATAATTCGTTTCTCCGGGAACAATGCTCTTTTTTTACATTTATTAGTTACCTGTTCGGCTGAAGCCTTTCGAGGATTTTAAGTTAACATACCTGAAAAAACGATTAAGTTGTTGGGATATCGCCAGGCAAATGTAGTACATAAGGAATACCCTTAGTTGAAAAATCAATTTTCATAATTTTTGTTACTTGAAGGCGTGCGCCAGGATGTGAGGTGTTGGATCAGTGTGGGTAACGGTAGATGAGAGTGGAAGTCTGCATTACAATGGAGCGCGAAAGAGGACTTTCGGAAAGCGAGATCGGTTGCGAAGTGGGAGGTTCGCATTTGTTCCCTGGTGGAAAATAGTGGTGCCAGGGCACGACGGAAGAAGAGAGTTGATCGGGTCAGATTTATTGCATATGTTTTCGGATAATGAAGAGATTTGGAGTTCCTTGTGTATTTGAGAGTTTGGTATAAACCATAGGGCTTTAAGAGTCTGCCTAAAAAGTTATTTTGTATTATTTGAAATTTTTGTTGGTTGGTGGGAAAAATTGGTTGGTGCTTTGTTTCGCCAAGTCGGGCAGGCATAAGTAATGTAGGCCTTATTATGGACTTCTATGTTGAAAGTGCTGAATCCGTTCTGAGTAAGGGAGTCCTGTTAATGAGAGGACTGAGTTTGGATATTTTTGCTTTGGTTGTAGTCATTACGTATTGCAAATGTTGCTTCCAAGTAAGTCTATCTAGTATCACTAGGTATTTTACTGATGAAGAACAATGCTCGAAAGTTCAATAACCGTTAAAGACGTTTATACATACGATCATTAAAACCACACTTCACTAAACATATAGAAAATCTTCTTCTTCTTCTTCTTCATTTTACGGGTTAGGGAGATTTCCTGTTCCGGCTTCATAACACCATCTCTGTCGTGGACGGCCAATGTCCCTTCGTTCCCTTGGTCTGTACTGAAAGGTATGTCGGGGGATCCTTTGGTGAGGCATTCATCCCAAATGGTGTACCCACTGTGATCTGTATTCACTTATTGTTTCATTGATATAAAATATGTTTCTTATATATTCATTTTTTATTTTATCCATTACAGTTCAGCGTTTTACTCTCCGGAGCAATTTCATTTCAGAGACTTGTATCCTCATTTTATATTGTTTTCTTAATGTCCAATAAAGTCTTATAGAATATAAAATTTGTATCATATATCATTTCACATGATGATTTAGAACATTTAGATTTTTAAAAGTAGCTAAAGAGCTTTTTCACATTTTCTTTTCAAATGTACACTTGAAAACATTAAATACATTTGTAATATAAATATTAACAACCTGCAAGGTTTAAAAAACATATGTATAATTTTTAAAAAGTCAAAATTGGTAATCAAAATGGCACCTATGTCGTTTGATTTATTGCATTGCGCTGCATCCGTAAAAAAAGCTTAGACAAACTGGTTCTGTTTTAAAACAAAATCTTATTTAGTTATTTTTGAAAAATTGATAGTTGAGTCAAAGTTGGCCCCATACACTAGTATTAAAAATGTGTACATGCTATTTTCAATCAAAGCATTGAAGAATCGATTGCGGAAAAAAACAAATAAGACTTAAGACCATTAGAAGTTCAAAAGAAGGTAAAATTTTGTTTTCAAAAATATTTTAATGAAACCTTTACAATATTTATAAGTGGAGTATTTGAAGAGAGAAAGGAAAAGAAAAAATCGAAGATATATTTGAGAAATCTTTGAAAATGTCCTTCTTGCTTCGTTCGAATTACATCGCCAAATTAAAAGATCAGTTACTTGTTGGACGTTAAACTGAGCCAGATAGATGGGATAATGCATACTAATTTCGAAGAAAATCCTAAAAGTAATTTAGGCACCAGAGTTATTTGTATGTCTAAAGAGACAAATGTGGACACAGACGTTTTCGAAACGGCTATTTATAATCCGAGTGGTAAATGTGACATTTTATTTCGCGAGTCGAAAAGGTTGCGACACGAAGCCGATAGGCCGAGTGGCGCAATCCTAAAAGTAAAATACTCTCATTTTTAGTGCTTGTATCATGTGTTATTTTTTTGATAAACTTACTGATTTTCATTTTATTTTTATTAAAGTATTCAAATCATTTAATTATACATTAAAGGTCAATACTAACTGATGTGGTCAGACGA